GATTAAACTGAAATGACAATTAGGTTATTCCCCTCCCCAGTAACTGACTGGGCTTGAGAAATAGAAAATCAATCAATCAAATTTCTGTGGCTGTTAAATTCAATGACTTTGCTATAATAATTAAATATGATTATAACCTTTCAAACTATCCAGTCAGGGATACCAGTTACTTACTGGCTTCTAAAAGTATTCCTGGGAATAACTGGGATTTTCTTTCATCTTATTAACAGCAACACCTCACACATAAAGGGAACCTGCCTCACTCAGCTTATTGTTGGAAATGATGAGATCTCCACCTGAGGAAAAGATGCCCAGGCATCAGTGGGCTGGGTAGTGGGGAAGGTGGGAAGGGCGGTTGGTTCAGGATCGTGCCAGTTTGTACAAAAGCCTGCAGGTGGGTGAGGAAGCTGGATGGCCTCAGGGGCTACCAGGACTTCCAGCTGGTGTGTGAGGATGACAGGTATGCTGCTGTCCATCAGGCAGGAAACATCTCAAGGGCACAGAGAAGGTGGCTGGACCTTGTATTGAGAACCACAGGAATACATGGAGGTGCACCTGCACTGTCTTGGTTACTTTTCTCTCACTGCTGAGACAAAATATCCAACACCCAAATTAAAGAGGGAAAGGTTTATTTAGTTCACAATATGTGGTGGTTTCAGCCCACACTTAGCCAGCTCTAAGGCAGAGTGGTACATGTCAGAAGGCAACAGTTCATGGCAGTGGAAAACAGCAAAAGCAACAAAAGCAAAAAATGAAGGAGCAGCAGAGAGCAAAACCCTTTCCCTTCCTTATATTGTATGCAAACTACCTACTCTAAGGTAGGTGTAGCACTCACACCAATAATCCCAGCACTGGACCATGAACTAATCACAAACTCCAGAAGTCCACTCCATGACTGCATGAAGTTTAGGGACATGTAGACACAAACCACAACAGATGCCCTGGCAGATTTATGCTTCCCTTTACATTACTGCACACTGCATATGTGGTCTTGCAGGGACCCTGAAGATTAGAGGAATTTCTTGCTGTCTGAAGACATCCAGTTTTTGTTTTGCTTTGCTTTTGGAGGATTCAAGGGAGGAAGTAATCTATACAAATTCTGGGGCAGGGCTGGGGTTGGGGCTCAGTGCTAAGATTGCTGCCAGCTTAGCATTACAAGACCCTGGGGCTTTGATGCTCAGCACAACAAAAGCAACACAAAACAAAAAATTCTGGGCAAATGAGACATTTTTCACTAACAATATATAAGTCCTTTTTGCAGGAGGACTTTAAGAACCTTGGGATGAGCTTGAAGAATCTTGCCAAAACAAGAAAAAGAAATTTATCAGATGCTGTGAGAAGGGGAACCTCTGATCTGTGCAGCTGGCTCTAAAACACCTATGCTTAGTGGGCCTTGCCCTACACAGGCAACAGCCCATAGCCTACAGTTCAGTCAGAGGAAAACTGGCCAGCGAAGGTCTAACCTTTCCTTATTCTCTGCCCTGTGCATCCATCCTTCTACAAGTGTGACAGCACCTCCTCTACTAAAATAATTAACAAGAACATTATTCATTTAATGTTGTTGAAGCAATTTGGGAGGAAGGAGGACATGTTGACATGTAGATCAAAAGATAAAGAAATTAGCAAGTATGTAGGATGGGCAAGTCTAAAGAGCTAATGTGTTATATACATGAGGACTGAATTAATAAAATCTTATTGTACTGTATCAGGGAATTGTGCTAAAGAAGACTTTAGCTACTCTTGCCACAAAAGTAATTACTGTGATGATGGGTATGTTTGGTAGCTTTTTTATAATAACCATTTTATTATCTGAATGTATCCAATAATATGTTATATACTTTAAGTAGCATAAAATTTATTTTTCAAAATATAGCAATTAGCAGAGGTTTGATATATATCAATTAATAGTGTTAATTTTTTTTTTTTTTTTTTTTGTGGAACTGGGGATTGAACTCAGGCCCTTGCGCTTGCCAGGGAAGCGCTTATTCCACTGAGCCATCTTCCTGGCCCCATATTTTATCTTTTAAGTAGCTTTTTAAAAATAGGCCAATGGTGGCATGCTGTGCCAGCTCCCCCTCCCAGGCATGCTGAGATAGGGATTAAGACTTAGGTGTGGTGGCACTCGTCTGTAATTCTAGCACTTGGGAGGCTGAAAACAGGAGAATCACTACGAGTCCAGTATCTATGTAGTGAGACCCTGTAGACCTGGTACTAAATACATTTAAATAAATAAATAAATAAATAAATAATAAAAATAGGCCAATGGGAAGCCTAGATGTTTCACGCATTTCAAATTTGATGTATTCAGAAGTAAACCCATTATCTCACCCAGACTGTGGAATAATCTATAATATAACTGGCTTATCCCTTTCCCCAAGTCAATGATTAAAAAGCAAAAGCAAAGGTAAGGAGAAGACATTAAAATAGATTAAAGATATATAGATACAAACACATAATATTCATATATCAGCAAATGCAGTGTGAACCTGATTGGAACCCATGTGTTAGGGATGGTGGCAGTTATAAGAGACATCCTGAGATAATCAGGGAGATTTGATTTTAGGTGAAATACTAGATAGTCTAGCCTACCTGCCTGCCTTTGTTTGTTTGTTTTCTCCCCCTCGGTGGTACTGGGGATTGAACTCAAGGCCTTGTGCCTGCAAGGCAAGCACTCTATTACTGAGCTACATCCCAAGCCCCAGATAGTCTAGTCTTGAATTACTGCTCTTTTCTTATGCTGAGATTTGCTATTAGGTAGTACTGCTGAGCTATCTTACTGCAGTCCTAACTTTGGAGACACACAGGTTTAAGGTCATAGTGCCACGATGTGATCAACCGACTTTCCAACTCTTGGCAAAGGATGAAGAGCAGGGGAGCAGGGGGTAAAGGTGTATAGGTGTCCACTGTACTAAACTTTCTACTTCCATGTAGTTTTTTTTTTTTTAACATTTATTTATTTATTTGTGTGTGTGTGTGTGTGTGTGTGTGGCCAGTTCAGCCCACCTGGGGGCGGGGCTGGCTGGCATGTGGTGCTGGGGGATTGAACCGCGGTCCCTGTGCTTTGCTAAGCTTGTTCCAAGTAGGTGCTTTAGACCACTGAGCCATCTCACCAGCCCTCCATGTAGATTTTGAAGGTTTCCTAAACAAAAGAAAAATGAGTGATCACATCGGGCCCCTGTCAGGGAGAGAAACCCTTAGCCAGAGGGCCTCTCCAAACCTGTGGAACAGGTCAGAGGACAGATAAGATCAAGTGCCACCAAAAGTCAGGGGATAGCTTTGTTTATCCAGTAAGGGTGGAGAAACAGATGCTGAGGAAAGGGCTATTCGAGATCATCAGAGACCAGGTAACGGTCTCCCTGGGACCTAACCAAGTCAAGGACAGTGGGGCCCCATAAAGCTATGTACTGTCAATTTAAAAAAGGGTACTGGTTCAGGAGTTAAATGTTAAGTGTCCACCCGCAGCCACTGCTACACTCTTCTTTCTGGCACCCCCAACCACCTCTCCATCTTGTAATCACCTGTCTACGGCAGTCAGGGAAGCCCAATCACTTATGCCAGGAATCTAGCCTTTCTCAGATGTCAGTCTGAGCTGTCCATGCTTAGTGCTTGCATCCCAAGCCCAGTGTCTTGCTTCCCCTATCCTGCCCCTTTCCACAGTCTCTGTGTCTTCTATAACCTGGGAAGTTGCAAGAAAATAAAATTCCTAAGACTGCACCAATGGGAGTTCTTATAAGGGCTTTAAAAAACTCTTGCTCCCAGGGCTGGCAAAATAGCTCAGTGGATTAAAGCACCTGCAAGCAGGTACAGGTACCTGGGCCTGCTGTGCCGGCCCTGCCTCCGGGATGCGCTGAGATGGTGACTGAGACTGGGCATGGTGGCATGTACCTATAATCCCAGCTCTTGGGAGGCTGTAAACAGGCAAATCACTGTGAGTTCAATCTAGTAATGAGACCTTGAACACACTGTAGCCCCTTCCCTAAAAATACAAAAAAAAAAAAAAAAACCCTCTTGCTCCCTTTTCTCATGAGCCTAGTATTCTACTGCTTCCTATTTCTCCCCATCATGGAAGAGGTAGGAATGAGGTTCACAGTGCAAACACAATTTCTGCTTTTCTACAGTTCACCAGATCTCTACAAAAGCACTGGGAAGGAGCTTCCGTCACCTGCTTTGGCCCAGTGTTCTTTGTGGGCAATGTTCACATTCACAGGTGACCAGGGCTGTAACTTGCTGTTTGTGGCCCATTTGCCTGACAGTTCAGTCAATTCCTGGAATGATCCATAAGAAAATATTTTCTTACATGGTGTTCAAGCTTATCCTTGTGACTTCTGCCTGATGCTCTGTGTTTTGGTCTGTGGATCAAATGAAATTCCACTTCTCCCCACCAGCCTCCCATAAAGCACCAGATTAAGCCAGGCATAGTGGTGATGCACATCTATAATCTCAACACTAAGCAAGGCTGAAGCAGGAAAACTTTAAGTTCAAGCATACACTGCCAGCCAAAATAGTGAAACTCTGTCACACCATAAAAATTTTTTTAAAAGGATAGATTATATAGCCCAGTGTGAAGACCTTTGGCTCAATCCTTAATAAAAAAATAAAAAAAAAAAGCAAGCACCAAACTTTCTCATCTGCCTGTTCCTTATGGGTGTCTTCATGGTCACAAACTAAATGACTTCTTGGAGGTAGTTTGTGGGTCCCTAAAGACAGGGGCCAAACAACCTCAGTCTACTGTAGGAAGCACAACCAACTGAAGCATTTTTCCCTGAAATGCACCACATCTTTTTGTATTCTGAATACGGTTCCCTTTCCAGAGGGCCATTCAATGAGGACACATTGGAAAAAAGTCTCATTGTAAAGCACTAGATTGGTGGGGCATAGGGCCACTGTAGCCCAGAAGTCTTCATCAGGCTAAGCGTCTTCTGTTAGTGGCATTTATCTAATGTGAATAAAAACAAAGACTGAGAGTATGGAGGTGGCTCAGGGTGAAGATAAAGACTTACCTCCCCCTGGAAGCTCTTCAGCAGTGGCGCTACCTGCTTGCGCAAATCCTGGAGCAGGACAGCCAGTCGACAAACAGCCAATGGAGGAAGAAAGAGAAGGAAAACACTAGTTAGGGCTTCCTAAGAATTGCTTGAGGTTCCGTGCTAATTATCACTGCATAAAACCACCCTGGTTCCTTCTGAGCTTTCCTCCTAAAACAATCAACAGTAATGACTCCAGAATTTATACTGAGTTATGTAAGAGTACTAGATTTTATTTCTGCTAAGTCCTGGCTGGAATGTGCTAAGGACCAGTTTTTGCTGTTGATCCAAGTGAGATCACTGACTTAGAATAAAATGCAATGTAGGTTTGATACAAATCCATCTGCGATGGATTTGGGCTATTTATGCACAGTTAGAGGGAGATCTAGCTTGTTCTGAATTCATGTCCGGTGTAGTTAGTTACTAGAAATTTTATCTCAAACCCCCAGACTATAACCATTTTGTAACATGGAGACATCCAATAGGTATGTCCTTATGTTTTTCAAAGTATTTTATTTATAATGAAGTGATTGGGAATGTACTTGAAGAAGGCAACTTCATTACTGACACTTTCAAAGTAGAAGCCAATTTTTCTGAGCATAACGCATGTGTGGGATCTGAGTCAATAGGTCTAGGACTAAGACCAGGCAATAACAACTGCTTAAACCCCAGAGTCACTTTGATGTACATGCCCAGCAGAGACTGATTAGCTGTGAAAAAAATAAACACATCAATCAATGATAGGGGGAGACAATAAAAGTATTATTCCCAAAAAACAAACACAATGCTACAAGAAAACATAAAAGGAAAGATAAATCTGAATCAAGGCACAGTCTCACACGATAGGCAGGAGGCCCCTTAGCTTTTGGGGTCATGAAGTTTTCTGAGAATCCAAGGAAAGCTACTCTCTTGCCCTCAGAGACAGAACTAAAAATTAATCCACTGGGGCCTCCTAAGGCCTACTTAGAGAGTTTGATCATGGAGACTTGTTCTAGCTTATGTTGTGCCACACAGGGCCACCAAGCATATGTGGATATTTATATCTATCTGTAACTTGACTAGAATGGTATTAAGTTGAATTTTGTTATACCAGCCATATCTCAACTGCTTAATGGCCCTATGAGGCAGGTAGATCTTCAATATCTGAACCCACTGGACAAGGCTATCTCATGAGCTTCTGTCAAACATAACTACAACATGTAATTTTGTGCCACAACCTGGTAAAAACATTTCATCAAAGAAGTACAGTACGGGTTGGTGTGTAGTTCAGTGGTACACTAGTATACTCAAGTATGCCTAGCATACTCAAGACTCTGGGTTGCATCCCCAGCAAAACACCATGCGCACACACACATACACACACACGCACATCTATATCACTTTCCTTTTCCATTTTCTAAAGAATGCATTCTCAGGCTGGGGAGATGGCTCAGTAGGATAAACGCTTGACTGGCAAACGCAAGGATCTGAGTTCAATCCCCAGTTCCGCCAAAAAAAAAAAAAAGAATGCATTCTTTTCTTACTATTATTTCCTTATCTTACTACTATTTCCCTGGAGAAACCAACAATTTGCTCTTTCCACTGGATGATTTTCTGTATTTCTACACCAAATTTAAGAGGGGGGGCTGGTAATATGATTCATTACCAGTTTAAAATACACAAGATAAATTTATCCATGTTGCAATACTTAGAACCTGTGAATAAATTGGTAACATGGTAGAAAGAATGGGCTTTATGGATATGACTAAGTTAAGAACTACGAATCTTAAGTAGTTGATCTGGGATCATCCAGTTAGGCACTATGTCATCACAGTGTTCTCACAAGGAGGAAGCAGGGCCACAGTGAGGAATAAGACCTGAGAATGGAAGCCAAGGTGGGAATGAAGTTGGGACATTGGTCAGAGAATGTGGACCCCCAGCAGAAGCTAGAAAGGACAGAGACAGATGCCCCTAGAGTTTCTAAAAGTACAACTGTACTGGCACCTTTATGTTAGCCTAGTGGATTTCACTTTGGGTGCCTAACTTCCAACATAGTCCCATGATGGAGTTCAATCATTTGAAGCCATTAGGACAGTGGCAAATTGCAACAGCTGCAATAAGAAAGTGAAACTCCTTTGTTAAGCCCACTGTACTCTAGAAAGACAGGCCTAAACCTAACACTGAAAAGGAAATGAGGGTAAAGAGGGTATGAAGGACAAAGAATGATGGAAAGAAGATCTTGCCCAACCCTGATCTTAGAGTCTGTGGGAAAGCTTATGTTTTAATCAGAAGGCATAAGCCCCACTTGGTCACTATAAGCAATCATGCAGGAAGTATAAACACAGATAGCTGTACTACACGTGCTTTGAGTATTCTCTGCCCTAGAAAAAGGCAGTCAAAGCCAAAGGGAACTGTGACATGGGGGAAGCCCAGGACCTTGCTTTGCTGTATTGATAGCAGGTGGCCTCTGATGACCCTTAGCTGCTGAGAGAGGAACCCAGGGCTCCTGGAAGTGGAAGCAGGGAGGACTCACTGTCTCTGGACATGCTTCTGGCTATTTCACTTTGAATTCTATGATCGGGCCATGGTGACAGCAATGCATCCTCCTTCTATCCAGTCTAAAGCTACAAAAGGGCCAGGAAGGCTGTCATGGCAGGCGCGCTGAAGAAGACCACTAGCCTCATGGGGTTGGCCATGTGCGAGATGCCGCACGAGAGGCTAAGAATATTGTACACAAAGATTCTTGATGTTCTTGATCAAATTCCTAAAAGTGCTGCATATAGAAAATACACAGAACAAATTACAAATGAGAGGCTGGCTATAGTGAAAGCGGAACCAGATGTTAAAAAATTAGAAGACCGACTTCAGCTTGGCCAAGTAGAAGAGGTGATTCTTCAGGCTGAAAGTGAACTAAGTCTGGCAAGGAAAATGATGCAGTGGAAACCATGGGAGCCGCTAGTGGAGGAGCCTCCTGCCAACCAGTGGAAGTGGCCAATATAATTGTCATTTACTGCCTTTGATGGTTGATGGGAATGTGATAGAATTAAATGTTGTTATATCAAAAAAAAAAAAAAAAAAAAAAAGGGCCAGGAATAGGCTTATCTGCCACATTCAACACAGGGCTGGGCACTACTTTCCTGAGGACACCTGGACACAAGAGGGTCTCTAACTCAAGAAGATTGGAAGCTGGTTCTATTCCATACCCCATGTGCCTTTGTCAGCCCTTTCTAGCTCAGCCCACCCCATAGTAATCACAATATCACACTGTATCATGAGGGAGTCTATTGATATGGCCAGGGCTTAGTGTAAGACAACTTGTGATCTGTGAACTGAAGGTTTGGAGAGCAAAAAGACCAGCCCAAACCTTCATGCTGGACCCCTTTCCCAGAGTGCCAGTGAGCCTGGGCTGTACTTCACAGAGCACTTTTCTATCTTCTCCATGCCTACAGTGGGGCCTGGTACACAGGGTCACTCGAGCATGAAATCAATGAATGAGCAAGTAGATGAAAAAAACAAACAAACAAAAAACCACCTTCAGGGGCCAGGGAGATAGCTCAGTAGAGTAAGCGCTTGCCTGGCAAGTGCAAGGGCCTGAGATCAATCCCTGGTTCCGGAAAAAAAAGACTGAAAACAAAAAACCCCTTCAAAGAGAGTTGAGAATCAGTAGGTGGGGAAGATCAGCCCACCTGCAGAAAAACCCTTGGAGCTAGGCTCCTGGTTCCAAATTAGCTCTGTCCACAAAAACACCACCAGCCACACATGTGCACTTCTAGTAAGTATAAGCACAAACAGAACTATTAACTATAGGGCCAGCCAAATAGCTCAGCGGATTAAAGCACCTGCAAGCAGGCACAGGGGCCAGGGGTTCGATTCCCAGCCTGCCTTGCCAGCTCTGGCCTGGCCCTGCCCCCGGGGTGTGCTGAGATGGTGACTGGGACTGGATACTCCTGTAATCTCAGCACTTGGGAGGCTGTAAACAGGAGAATCACTAGGAGTCCGATCTAGTAGTGAGACCCTGAACACCTTGTACACTCTTTCCTAAAATACAGGAAAAGAAAAAAGCATAACTATAAAGACACAAACAGAAGCATATACATATTTCAATTTAATTTCATCCCCATATATCCCAAACGCTATCTTTTAACAGTAATTATTAAGGTATTTTACATTTTTTTCCTATTAAGTCTTTGCAATCTGCTATGTGTTTTATTTTACACATATGTACATCCCTTGTTTTGACTGACTACAGGTCAAGTGTTCTATAGCCACACATGGCTATCCTGGGTAGTTCATAGCAAAGAGATGCACTTGCAAATCACAGCTCTCCTGGGACAGAGCAGCAGAGGTGGTGACTCACTGCCCTGCCATGAGTAACTTGAGAGGAAAAAATGGGCACTGAGAGAGGTGTAAGAGAACAGAAAGAATAAAGGGCTAGGCAAAGGGGAGTTTGTGGAGCAGGGGGTGCCTGTATTCAATACTGGTCATGGAGGTGAGGACAGGATAAGAGCTGGATTTAGACCCTGAGGAGCTCCTGGCAGCTGAGAGGTTTTAAGTAGGGTGAAGGGTAGGAACCAGCTGTAGCAAGTGTGTGGAAGGTTTTGAGAAATTGAAACCAGAAAAGGAGAGACAGAAGGTAGATAAGATCCAGGAGTGCCAAATGAGTGCTGCTACATGCTCGGCACAGATCCATTTCTTTCCAGGACACCCACCCTGTACCACATGAGACTAGTCCATTGTACTGGTAAGGACAACTGAGGGTCAGGAAGAAAAAAAAAAAAAAAACTTGTCTAAGGCAACACAGGAAGTTAGGGTTTGAACCCAGCTCTCTTTCCAACCCTGTGCTACAGCCAGTTGAATATTCAGACAGCAATGTGGTGGCATGAGAACAGAGACATATATTACTCAAGGGGCTCAAAAAGGGTCCAAATTCAGAGGGGAAATAGACAAACTAGATGGAGTCTTGGAATAAGAAAAGCAGGGTACTGAGGATTTGAGACCACAAATTTGCCAAAGAAGGACAGAGAGCTTGATGGAAATGTTCAGGTCAA